TGAATTTCTGGAATTTTAAAGTCGCGATGGATTGCCGAATTTCTAATAAACCACAGACAATCCACCGCATGTTTAAGTATTAGATTTTGCAAATTTGAAGTTTCTTTAATGATGTTTTACAAGCATATCCCCAGACATGACAGACTTATTTTGTAATCAGTAGAGAGATGCTGTTCCGAGCAATTAAGGTGGCGAATGGTACGCACTTGGCTAAGAGGGGACCATGTGAGACAGTGTTCAAGGGTAACACCAAGGTATAGGGCTTGCGTGGTCCATAGGATCGGGGTATTATACGTATTGACATGGATATCAGTGTTAATGTTTTTCTTTTTGGTGAAAACGATTTCATCTGATTTATCCACGTTGATTTTGATCTTCCACGCCTACAGTCAGGATCATGTGTATGTAAGTGGTTTTGTAATGATTGGATGACTGAGCCGTGAGATGCATTTTGTGATAGAATTCTTGTGTCGTCAGCACATATGGCAAGAGTGTGTGTGGTATGTGTGGGATGTTATTCGTGTGATAGTTGAAAAATATGGAGCCCAGAAAGGACCCCTGTGGGACACGAGTTAGGATATGCCTGGGGTTGGAGATCGTGTTGTTGACACGAACGATAAAGTGTCGATAAATAAGATAAGGTGAGTGATGTAATCTGGGAAACCCAGATTTATGAATTTGTGCATGAAGCCCTCCAGTCAGACACGATCAACGGCCTTAGCAACATTCAGAAATAGGGTCCCTGTGAGGGATTTATTCTGCAATCCTTGCGAGATGTATTCAGTTACTCGGTACAGCTGGGGGACTGTTGAGTGCCCCTTTCTGAAGCCATGCTGTTCATCTATGATGAAGTTCTTGTCTCCATATGGTTGAGGATGCATGACATACTCCGCGACTTTGATGAAAGAAGGATGATCGGCCGGTATGAAACTGGATCTGATGGTGACTTGTTGGGCTTTAATACAGGTGAGATGACAGCATATTGCCAGTGAGTTGGGAAGTGACCAAGGTATAGCATATCTTTAATGATTTTAGTAAGCTTCATAATCATTAGGACTCACCTGTTCTTTAGCATCTTGTTGGTAATAAGACTCAATCCCGGACTCTTCTTGATTTTCAACTTGATAATATATTCATAAACCTCTGACGGCCTGACGGAAGGAATGTTGTTCGTGCATGGTTTTAAGAAGAAATTTGTGGATGACAATGCAACCATGTGTTCTGTCTGTGGGTGGGATATGTTGTTTATGCGAAACTGAGTAGCACAGTGATCAGCTAGTGACTCAGCTTTGACAGTGATCAGCTAGTGACTCAGCTTTATGATGTAGGCAATTCCTTGAGGGCCAGTTAAGGACCGAACGTTGGTGTAGCATCTCAGAAGTTTGGAAGTACCCTTCCAGATGTAATTTTTCTCTGCTGAGAGGGAAAATAGATAAGTGGCCCAGTCGCGGTCTGTTTGCATACATGTAAGAAGGGCCCTGACCTGGTGATTAAGCTGGTTGAGTAATGCTATATCATGAGGATATCTTGATCTCTGCCATTGTTTTCTGGCTGCATTCCTTTTGATTTCAGAAGTACAGTTTTTACTTCTATTTTCAGAAGCAGGCTTAATGTTTTGCTGGAGTGCATTCTGGAGTTTCAGAGTAAAGTTGTTGACAATTACATCTAACTCATCTCCAGTGTGGGCAGTTGGAATGGGAAGTGAGGTGTTGTCTAAGGCTTTGGTAAATCCAGACCAATGTCTAATGAAGGCTTTTTTGTCTGGCGTATTACGAACGGAAAGATGCAGATCCACCAAGACTGGGTTGTGATCTGAGAAAAGTTCACTCAGACTTTCTACGAACTTAAAGGTCCAACCTTTGAGTAAGAAGAAATCCAGAACTGTGGTAGATCTTCTGCCATAACGTGTTGGAGTTTGTCGAACTGCAATTAAAATCTCCATCTATAATTATTTTGCTGTTTATCTAACGCTTCAAAATTTTGCTTGATGTGATCTTTTGTTGGATGAATCTTGCTTAATGTGATCTTTTGTTGAATGGGATATAGAAAGAATGATCGTGAGTGGTTGTGAAATGAGTAAAGTGATTGTGATAGCTAAGGCTTCAAGAGCTAAAAGCTGGGGAAATGTAGTGTGATAGTGGGCGATAGAAAGCTTGATTAAAATTATCAAACCCCCTCCGGGGCTATGGCTTGTTCCGCTCCGGTCAAGGCGATAAAGTATATAATTTGCAGTTTCAAAAGTAATCCCAGGAACAAATTTGTGTTCCTGTAGGAGAAGAAGATCGGGACAATATTCATGTATAAAAATACGTAACTCATCAATTTTATGGGTTAAACTATTTGTGTTCCATGATATAGCTCCAAACTCACTGTCCATAAAAATACTTAGTGAGCTCATAAATTTCCTCAAAATTAAGGTGTAGAACTTGCATTTTGTCTCATGAATTATTACATTTTCTCAGTTCAGGGAATTTGCTTTTATAGGTATATATAACGTGACCAAGGCTCAAAACAAATAAGTTTTGAACTTCCTTCATAATTTTAATAATTCGGAAATTCATAATTTCATAATTTCGGAAATATCCGAACGTTCATTATTATTATTATTTCGGGTACTGTTTGTAGGATGATTCTTTGCATTTACTGAATCCTTTACAATATGTGCAGTAACAGCAGGTTTTCATAATATTTCGGACAACAATAAGATTGGCTATGGAAGCAAGTCCAGCATTTGGTACTTCCATGTTAACAGATGCAGGAGTAGCTGATTTCACCGCCTGCGCATAACCAAGTCCAGGCTTGATGGCTGAGCTATTGTTAGGTTTTTCTTGCTGTAGGAAACTTATGGTAATCCCTGTACGAGGCCACTTGGGGCCTTGACAGTTGGAACATTCAGGAAATTTCAATCAGCTCCTGGTGATCACAGTTGTCAGTACAATGGTAACCTGCACACTTGACACAACGTGGTACCACGTGGCAATTTTCCAAAGAGTGGTGCCATTTCTGGAAATTGTGGCACTGAGGCACTTGGTTATTAGCTACACATTTTTCTACTTTCATATCAAAGAACATTAAATAAGTTACATTAAAATTTTATAATATTTTCGTCAGGAATAGTTTGTGCTTGAAAAAACGGCATGGGAGCCTTAGTTAGTTGCACGACTTATATTTAGTTAGTTGCACGACTTTGTGTACGTTGAAACCAAGTTCAGATAGAGAAAAACTAATATGCCCACATTAGAATCTGAGGGTAGCCCTCTAATTAACACTTTAACAGGGTGTTTTTTTTTTTTTTTTTTTTTTTTTTTTTTTTTAGTTGTTGTTTGTGGTGGTGGTGGTGAGGAATAATCACATAATGTTTGTTCATTTGAATTGTCCAACAATGTCGACTTAATATTATGTGGTCATTTTCACTTGCAGGCTCGACTTTCAAGAATTCGCCGTTCCCAGCTTCGGTGATAGGTTTTTACATAGCTATGAATGATTTTAACAACGTCCCTATTCATGCCCTGGGCAATATTTTACTGAAGTCTGAAATGGCGTATCCCAAGACTTGCACACAGATCTTCGAAAATTTCGCTAATAAATTGGGAGCAGTAGTCTGATATTACCTCAAGTGGTGCACCATATTTTAGAATATATTTATTTAGAAATGAATCAGATACAATTTTTGCTGAGGTTTCTTTTGAGGACTATAATATGACGTTGACTATGCTATGCCGTAAATAATATACCGTTTGAAAAGTGTCCATTAAAATCCTTACTCGGCCTTTATTTTCATAATCATTAGTCATAGGCATATACTTCCACTTATAGATACGTTTTAAATGACGCAAATATTTTTATGTTCGGACATTTTAAAATTTTAGTAGATAAATTTTATAAATTAATAATATATTTACGAAATTTATTGTATAATTTATTATATATTTATAAATTAGAAATTTTACAAATTTACTATATTACATATTTACGAAATCTAACTTTTTATAATATTTTTATGATGTCCCTACACTAATATTTAGGAAAATTTTGCATATTAGATTGTTATTTTTTTTTATAAAGTGTTACTCCCTTTACGATGAAAACTGACAAAGAGATTTAATTTCAAAACTTGGGATATTTGACGTCATTATTTCGAGGTTGATTTTCGTCCTTAAAGGCTATTCAATGATATTCTTTTATTATTTACCAGTCTGCAATATTCTTTACTTTATAATCTGATGACAGTACGCCGAAAGTTTTTCATATAAAAGTAACAGCTAAAAATACCTTACTCATGACATTTTATTACTTTAGAATCATGATCTAATAATTATACAAAAATTCGTTAAAATAGAAATATTTTTAATTTATGCATTTAATGTTATAATTCGTTGTATGCCAATATTGAAATTTGCCAGTGTTTTCTAGAATAGGAATTCTATAACATTTTGTGCATAAGATATACTTTTTTGAAGCACTTTACATATTTTTCATGACAATCTGCATAAAAATGCTTGTTACTTGACCTATTAAGATGAGAAACTGAATACAAATTTTTTCTAAATAATATACTTATAGGAACCTAAAAAGCATATAAAAAATTAGATTTGATTATTTTTACAAAATTGATATTTCTAAAATTAAAAATACCAAAATAAGCGTACTTGCGTCATTTAAAACATTTTTGTGATTGAAAGTGTTTGTACAGGAAATGTGTACAGCAACTTTCTCATTTTAATTTCCAGGAGCCTCTTAACTCTTCATTTTAATTTCGGTATTTCCCTAAGACCAGTAATTGCTTATAATAAACCTCTGTAATCTGCAACATTTCAAAATTAGTAGCTATTATATGACTTTTATATAGCGTGGCGAAGAAGATGGTTTTGCGAAGAACTGTAAAGAGTCATTAATTAACCTCTCAGAATGCATTCTAAACTGAAATTGACTCATTTTGAATTAAGATTTTATCCAGAACAAATCGCACATTCATCGAAAATAACTCATTTTTATTTTAGGGGTGAGGCTATTAATGGAGGATTTGGATTATTGCTCGATGGTAGTCAAGTAAGTGTCATTCATTTCATTCATCTTCTCATCCATTTCATATATATTTTTTAATATGCTGTAAACTCAATTGCTTCTGTTCTGTGTTTCAGGAAACAGAACAAAAGGCTAGAATGATGTTGACATGGGATGTCCTCAATGGAGTAAGTTAATTTCGACATATATAATAAAAAAATCGAAAATTTTGGAATATATACACCATTACTAACGAAATGGGAAGAAATGTAAAACAGTATATGTTGTTTTAGCCTAACAGGTCATATGTATATGATAAAATCCAAACAATCCTACAGCTTGCAGTCGCATAAACTATCCAGCACACAATCTGTAAACTATCTGTGATTCATGTAGCCTTTCTATTTACTGTGAAATAATCTGACGCAAAAACAGTGAACAGGAATAATGAATTCATTGATATACTACTTTATAAGAATCTGCAGCTAATATAACCATTTTTTTTTTTTTTTTTTTTTTTTTTTTTTTCCCCAAACACTATATTTTTTTGAGGGGGGTAGTCTAGTAATTTTCTTTCAAAGCTATTTTGTCGCTAAAAATTAAAATTCCTATTCTGTTGTACCAAAGAAATTAAAAGTTTTACCTTTTCAGCAGAAATGACTATTAAATAGGGACTACTAAAAACAGACATGTTCTAATTAAGAAATTCTGAGTGCTGTGAAAAGATTTAAGGGATTTTATTTTCATTTATTTTCTCTCAGACCTTGAAGTGTCAGAAAGAAATCTTTCTTAAGTATAAAATTATTTGAATTTTTATGAGTTTCGATATCTTTTCTAAAAATTCAGTTATGCTTACATTATAGGCAACATATATAATGTACATACTACATTGTATATGATATGTGGAACTTATATAAGCTTTTCAATGAAAATATACAAAATTCAGACGGAAATATAATTCTTTCTTCTAGACAACAGAGGAGATTCCGAATGGATAATCTACAAATATATATATATATATATATCTTTTTAAAATTAAAATGCAGATTAGTTGGTGTCTTTAAGTTTTATCCTAATGATAGACCTCAACGTTTGAATATTATATAGCATTCAAGTAATAAAATAAATCAGAGAAAAACGACATATGCTACCTACAATGAATGCCATAATAAAAGAATTAGAATATAAAAGAAATTTAATCTTTGTCTCTGAGATTCATTCGTAATTCTTTTATTTGCTTTTATATATATCGTTGAAAAATATTACGTGATTAAATATCACTTGCATGACTGGTTGTAGATGCGCAGTTTCACATTTAAAAAGAAATTAAGGTTGGCTTTTAAAAAGTGACATTTTTAATTATGAGACATCTTCTAGTGAAAATAAATGAAACTTCAATTTTTATACCGGCCCATACAGGAAGAAATCTCTTCATAGCCGAATTCATATTTATATAATAAAAAATTTCAATGTGAAAACTCAAAATTGCAGCCTAACACTTCGAAAAATTTAATATAAACGTTTCAGAAACCTAAATAACGAAATAATTTTTAAAATAAAAGTAATTCAGATTTTAACATCGCACTAGAGAATTTACTAAGGCTTTTATGCTGTCACTGTTACCAATCTACTCCTGGATTCACGCCTAATACATTTTATTTATCTATTTATTTTTGTCTTTTTAGCTTTATCAGAGAGCATCACTCTCTTCGCACTTACGCCACACACAATTCCGCGGCAAAATGCAAACTTTTAAAAGCACTACAGCAGCATATATTTACAACTCCCGATATGTTGTAAGTGTCGACATACACTTTCTTTTTTTTTTTTTTTTTTTTTTTTTTTCAGTCTTATCTCAGTTCCTCATATCAATGTTCACTTTTCTTAGTACGATGATTTACAAACCTTTTCTTTTTTTTATGTCTTTATTATTAACTTTTTATATGTTTAACTTCATTTCTTAAATATCACGCTTTTCGCACTTACGCCAGCATAAAATTAAGACAGCAAAATCACAAAATATTTAAACACGGCATATCTTTAGAATCCTCGATAGAGTGTTAGAGATTGCCTCATTTTAAATATATATATATATATATGACATAATAAAAGCACAAGGAAAAGACGGAACACTGTAGATCTGTGATCTAAAGAACTTGGCAGTCGAGGCAGTTTTAATTCCATTTTTATTTTCAACTGATATTTGTGGCCACAATCACTTTGCACTCTAGTCGTGCCTTTCCACAAAAGATTTACAATTTTGATATTGTTGAGAAGGGAAGCAAGCCAGCGAAATTACATCTTAGCAGAGTAGAGGGCAAAAGCTGAAGCGCGTAGTTATGCAAGATGGAAGCACGCGAAGAGAAAAGTTTTTGTTTGCAATTCGGTGATTGGTCGTCAAGAGGCATCTGGTATTAACGGTTACGTAAGATCGCATGATTAATTTGAATGACACAATGCAGAGAAGTTATTACGATTTTAGAATAGAGGAAGAATTAATGTTTATAGTTATATTATAATTCTGATTCATATAATTTTATCTTACATATATATACTTCATATTATTTCTTTAAAAAGTAGCCGCTCGTGCGGACAGTCGCCTAAAAGGGTTATCACAAAAAAGAAAAAAAGCATATAATAATTTTTTTAATGAGACCAGCTAGGGTAATTTCTAAAATTATTTAATATTTTTGATTAGAAATCTCACGATTTTAATTCATTTTTATTTAAATCAATCTTATTAAAAAGTAGAAAGCATATTCTTAAGAACATGATTATTGCTTTAAATCGCTTATTTTTAGAATTTTTAACACGTTTGTACTCTTACAAATATGTTACAGTTGTATGTAAGTACAGTGACCTTCCAGAGTTTTCTGATCAAAACTGAAAAATAAACATCTGACATTTTGTCTGGCAATAGTCTGGCGTACTGAACATATAATTTTCATCTCGAACAGTGTTTCCACGTCTCGCTTTCAAATCTCTGAGTTTATTAATCAAAACTTTATTAGATCTGCATAAAATACGAAAGAAATATAAAAAATTAAAAATTCGGGTTTTGAGGTGCACATGTTCGGGTGGAAGACAACGTGTATCAAAATTTTGGTGGCTGCAGGTGTCGTCGTTTTTTTACATAACTATGAACATACGTACATAAATAGAGATCCTTCATTATTTAATTATTTTTAGCAATACATAGCGTAAACACTTTGTAATAACAATTTGAAAAGTATATCGGTCACAAAAATGATACGGTCAAAAAAGTGAGTTTCAAGATTGATAGCACCTCTAATACTAAACATAAAATCAAATCACAAGGTAAAAAGGCATTGTAGTAAACTGATCTTCGTATACAGATGCCAGTTTAGGATTTAAAGCAATTTCAAGCTAAGCAGTTACAATAGGTCTACTAATTTAAAAATCAGTCCTCTAGAAATTAAAGATATAGAATATAAAATCTTATATTTAAAAGGAGCTATTCAAGTTGCATGAAACCAAATAGCAGAGGTAAAATTGCTTTGATATTTTTTCATTCATAAATTATTGACATGGGAGAGTTGTGCCGTATTTAATTAAGGAAAAATTTAATTAGGTTGAAGCTATGCCGTTAATCCCTGGATTATTTAATTAAGGAAAAGTGTAATTAGATTGAAGCTATGTCGTTTATCCCTGGATTATTTAGTTAAGGAAAAATTTAACTAGGTTGAAGCTATGTCTTTAATCCCTGGATTATTTAGTTAAGGAAAAATTTAATTAGGTTGAAGCTATGCCGTTAATCCCTGGATTATTTACAACATTAGTTTCTATTCACTTTGCGAGGATGCGAAATCTACAACCTGAAAACAATTACACGCCTAAAAGATTTCCTTGAAAGTATTCAAAAACTCTTTCACGTGATTAAAATGACTTTAAATATATTCTCAATTAAAAAATTTTCGAATTTCAAGAACCACATACATTGCTAAAGGCAATTTAATACCAGATAAATATTCACACAGAAGACTAGCTTTAAAATTTCCTGTCCTATAAATAGCAAAATTAAAAAATTTGTATCTCACAAAATTCAGCGAAATCTCTCTTCAGATAAAAGTGTTTTCAGTCACACAATGACTGAAACACTTTCACGGTTTCTTTTTTAGGGCCAAATTTTCTTTTAGCACCTAAAATGTATTCAGGAATCTAAGAAAACACTAAGTGGAAATTTCTTAACAAATAGCCCTTATGAAAATTAAAATTTGAAACTTATTTTTAATGAAAGTGTCTCATCATAAAGAATCAAGGATATTCTTCCGTAGTACTCTAGTGGTATAGTGGTCAACATATCGAGTTGGCAACTGAAAGCACCCAGAATACAGCACCCAGAATGAGAAATACACAATACGCAAAACAACCAATCTTCCCTCGTTTAAAAAAAGGGGGGAGAGAGAGAATTCGCACAGAAGAGTGGCCGATGATAATTTTTTAACAACGACTGAGAAGAGAGCGATACCTATTTGGCCGACTAGGTATCGTCTCTTCCCCAGACGCCCTTTAGGTGTGGAAAACAGTGTTGCCAAAAATTGTTGGGTTAAATAAGCTCGTGGCCAAGGTCTACAGGCCTCGACTCATTACGCCAAAGATCATGTGATGTCATGGGTATGTGAACTTACTTGACCTCTGATGTCATCACAAATTGAGTCTACGTGTGCTGTAAATCGTGGACTCTAATTCGATTCTTGGTCCTTTTATTACGATTATCAGTTTTGACGAAAATACTAAAATCATGTATTTTTTCAATATATAAAGTTCTTTTAATTATTTCTGACTCGATTTAAATTATTATTTTTCCATTAATTTGTTCCTATCCATTGCTTTATAACGTATGGATTGTTAAGACTGTTGTATTAATTCTTTGTGTTGGTGGTTTATTTTTTATAAGATACCGTTTGTTCACATTTACATAACAGGTTCAGGTTGTAGCGGACAGCCAATGTTTAACCATAGGTAATGTGGGTATTGTCCAACTGCACTATCTTTTTATTTGAACATTATAATTTTTTTGATTGAATTTTGATATATTTACATTTTTTCATATGATTACAATATAGTTGTGGCATATGGTGCCTTTCATACTCGAATACATAAAATTAAAATTAAACGTAAATATAGAACATAATGAAAGTACAGAATATAAAGGCAAATATATAACATAAAGGTAAATATATAACATAATGACATACATATAACAATACATTTCGGAACATATACGTATATAGCATTATTATATACATAAATACAAAGAGCACTTTTTTGCCTGTATATCTAAGAGAGTATATACTGAGTCAGGCAGAAATTATTTTGTATATAACTTTTTTTTCAGAATATTTTTGACTTTTTTTTATTTTATTGGATGCATAGAGGTGTTGTATCGTCCTCTAGTCTTTATGTTAATTCTAGTCTGTACTTTTGTCAATTTTTTGTACATTTACCTAACAGAAATACCACAATGTTTGACAGAAACTGTGGCAGCTGTGAAGAGCTATTAAAATATCTCACAGCTCATCGCATTAGTAATGAATGCCTCATAAATGAACGTAAAACTTTGCTAATTTTTTAAATAGCTTGTACCCTTTCCAAAATTTCTTCCATATTCAATCTGATTTGACTTTTAGACACAAGTTAATTTCTTCCCGTAACATTTCTCTAAAACTACTAAAATACAAATTTCATTTATTTGATTTTAGCACAATTTTAATTTTTGATTTTAAGCATCGCACTGATTCTAAACTTCAAATGATTAAGAGATCTTTTGATAACAACCCTTCATTCTAGAAATACAAAATGTTGAAAACATTGTTTCTTTCAATACTTTCAACGAGAAGGGGAACAGTTATTTCTTTACAAAATTAATTTAATATTACTTTTTCTCTATGTCTGAAGGGTGAAAATTGTTATTAAATAAACATTTCACGCTTCTTTTAATAGGTTGCAAGGCGATGCTGGTCAGGAAACAGCAATGCCATGATTAGTATACAACAAGCAATGCAGGATGAACCTAGATTAGAAGTAACTATTCCTCATGAGATACTGGATGATAGCTTAGCAGAAAGTCTGCAGTCAGAATAGATGAACAAAATAATATCAGTTATAAGTACAACTGAAAAGATACACATTTTGAATCTAATTCTGTACTGTAAAACAAACCTCATTGATTGTTATTTGCTTATTTTTTTATTTTAATTTTCTAATAGAATAAAACTGATTTTAAATGTGTTTTGAGTTTCGATGTCTGAATATAACATTATATAGGATGGTTGATGCGAAACCATTGGACCTGAATCACATGAGATAGGACCTGCAGGCATATTCAGTAAAATTCCAATGGAGTAATCACTGGCATCCTATGAGTTTATAGTGCAGACTTATTTCTCAAAGAAGTCAGAGGTGCAGACTCAAAAACATTTTCCATGTGAATTTGTTGTACTGAAATATGGAGAGGGGGCATTTTGATGAGAAAGAGCTCTCATGAAGGCATTTTGGAAAAAGTTACGTATTTGAATGAATACAGAAAAGTATAGGAAACAGGTATTTTGGTTCACAGAGCACAATGTGTATGTCTGAAAATATGGTATGAATGCTACAGCGCAAGAGTCTGACATCTTTATTAGCCAAACCATATGAAAATAACATTGGAAGCACTAATTAGAATAAGAATATTACACAAGGACTTCATCTCTATAAGATTCACGTTTATGGTAAATGAAATAAAGTGTACACTGCGAAAAAAAAAGTAGGTCAGTTCTATATCTTTCGTTTTACTGGGCGAATTGACGAAATTCATCTTACGTTTTTCCTGTCTCGAAAGCGCGACTTAGGATATGTGTTACATTTACATATAGCATTCTTCTAATGTAGATATTTTCACACAAAATCGGACTTTTTCTGAAATGGCATGCAAATTGTTTTTTCATATTTCGAGTCTACGGTTCAGATTATGCCAGACTGCAGTAGTAGGAAACAGCCGGTTCACCGCCAGGATCTCAAACTCACAGGCGGTGCGCGGTACAAGCGCGCAGGCGGAGCAAAGCCGCACGTGGAGGCACAGCAGATAAGGAGGGTTTCAGGATTCTTCATATAACTGATAAGATGACGTCATACTTTGATAAGAGATTAGTTTTTATTGATTTTTCCCAAGCTTTTTGTTAATCAGTTTTTAGCCTTTATATTTTTTCTTGGTGTTCCAGCCATTTTAGGACGTATATGATTATTTCCTAGGTACTCTTAACAGCGCCTATTTTCAAATTTAATGATGAATTCAGAAGGCCTTAATTTTAGATGTAATTTTTTTTGTTTCCATATATTTTAAGCCTTATAATTTCCTATATAGTCAGAATTTTATTTTATTTCTTAAATCTTCTGTTCATAATACCAGATTTACTTTCCGTAATCTTAACCACATGACTCATTTTTATATTTTTACACTATATACATGACTTTTCCTTGATTTCTTTTATACATTTCAACCTTCATAATTTTCAATATAGTCTTAATTTTAACACAATTCCTATATTTTCAGATCATATATCTGACTTTTATTTAATTTCAGATGTAAATTTTAACTTCTTTTCTACTTTTTAACCTTTTTAGTTTCCAACATACTCCAAATGTTAACTAATTTGCTATATTTTCGCACTATGTTCATGACTTTCATTTAGTTTTTAACTAATTTTCATACGTTTTTAACTAATTTCATACGTTTCAACCTTCGTAATTTCAAACATTTTCTTAATGTTAGCCTAATTCTTCTATTTTCTGACCGTATACATGAACTTTATGTAGCTTTAGATGGTATTTTTAACTTGTTTCCTAAATTTTAAACCTTCATAATTTTTAAAGTACTCTAATTTGAAACTTGTTTATTACATTTTCGTACCATATACCTAACTTTTATTTAGTTTTAGATGTAAATTTTAACTTTTTTTCTACTTTTAACTTTTTTTTAGTTTCCAACATATTCTGGTTTTTAACTAATTTTATATATTATCACACTATGTACATAACTTTCATTTAATTTGTAGCTACTTTCATATGTTTAAACTTCGTAATTTCAAACAGGCTCTTAATTTTAGCTTAATTCCTCTATTTTCTGACCTCATATGAGCTGTATTGAATTTTAGATGATATTTTTAACTTGTTTCGTACATTTCAAACCTTCGTAATTTTTAAAGTACTCTAATTTTGAACTTGTTTATTACATTTCCCTACTATATACATGAACTTTAATTAATTTCAGGTTTAATTTTTAATAATTTTTAGATTTTTTTTTCTTATTTCTAGTTTCCAACATACTCTAAATTTTAACTCTTTTTTTTTATAATTTTCGACTGTAATCACGCATTTTATTTTACTATTTCAGCTAAATTTACATATTTAAATGTCTTAAACATAGAGATAGTTTTCAATTAAGCATTTTATTTTACAACCAATAACTATTATTTATATCCAATGCGTTTAATAGCCCTTACTTAGTCTTTATAATACTATTTTAATTTGTCAATTCTACAATTTATCATTCTGTAGCACTCTTACCATGACTGTACTATTTTACCTCATTATTAGGCCCACCAGCGGCCGAGCGGTAAAGACGCTGAACACTGGTAGTTCGGTCGGAGGTTCGAATCCCGCGAACGGGCTGGCTGCATGGGCGTTTTCGTGGTTTTCCCCATGTGTAACGTGTATACGAGCCAGTTTCCCTTAGAAAGTCCTCCACGAAAGGCATCCCTCCCCTTAGGCAGATAGCCCTCGTGTGCTTTGCCATAACTGAATAATCCTCATTATTAACTTCATTCGCATTTTCAAACTTTAACATTTCTTGCATATTCTAATATTTCCTTAAAGTTTTAACATCATTTTTATCTGAATGCATGCTTTTAAGCTCTTCAGAGTTACCAATGTTCGGTTTTGAATCTCGATTCTCATTAAGCTAACTTAATAGATTCCACATTTTTAGAATGAATTCACTACTTTCATGCATAATTTTAGAACCATATTCACATTTTTATGTACACATCCAGAAGTCTTTCTTATTATTTTGAACGCTTAATACCTTTCAATTCAGTATTTTTTTTATAACTGACTACATTGCATACTATTATTTTTAAACTTTAAATGCATCGACTATGCAAATTTTCACATTATTGCCTTTTTTCTGCACTAAGTACCGATATTTCTGCCTTCATCGACAACTTTCATGTGAAATTAACGATTATTTAAATTACACATACAAAAGAAATGCCTATGATAAAAACTTACAGTATCGAATCAGAGGTGAATTACCATAGATTTTACCCATCGATTATCATTTCATCTCTTGAAATTATGTTTAATCGGTAAATAATAAAATTGAAATTATGTAATAATTTTTTCTAGTGCATACTGTTAACACATTTCTTCGAACCTAGTTCAGTTCCAATTAAATTTCCCTAGACAACTGCATATATAGTCTATTTTTTAATTTCTTAGACTAAAATTTTCTTTCGTGAGTGTCAGTTTTCATTAATTTATTTACCAATTTATTCTCTTCTAATGAACGAAATCTTGTGAAACACTACCATACCTTTACACAACATATACATTGCCAATATACTTATATTTACAGATTGAACCAAAGAAAGAAACAGTAAGAGATATTTTACCAAAATCTCCGCTATATTTTCGAATATTTTAACTTTCATCCATCCCGAATACAAAAATTTATTCATAAATACTCATTACATCAGTTAAATATTCCTTACTAATACCCATTTAATGAGGAATAACCCCTTAAGAATATAAAATTACACAAAAATAAGTGTTCGATTTTCCTATAATTGTATACATAAGTTTGCATTATAGAAACTTTCTACGCATGTTCGAGAACTGTAATTTATTTAATGCTATTAAATATTACCTTTTTCTAAGACGAAAACTCAAAAGATCATTCAACTTTCCAATTCTAAAGGCTATTTAAATCATTCATCTTCTTCTGCAGTATTTCCTCAGCACCGAATACCTATCTCAGAACTATTTTCTTAAGAACTAAATATGAAAGAACCATTGTCTATTGTAGAATATTTACTGCTTTAATCCAAATGAGGATACAACCTTTATCTAAAGTAAGCTTTTTTACCCAGAATTCCCCAACAAGATTTAGAAAATGTGCCATAGAAAACAGCTTATGTACCTAAAAATGAGTCTTAACAGATTCTTATCGGCTCCAGATTTACTATGAGTGGGAAAAATCTGAAGTTAACTTCATCTAGCCTTGTCAGTATATACACAAAAATCATGAATTATTTTGCAGTACATTTAATACTAATTAACTAATTTCAATTAATACTAATAACTTTCAATTAGAATTGTTAAAAGAAAAGCATATTTATTCTACATATTAAATTATTCCCAAGCATTATTAAGGAAAATGCAATTAAATATCCACATACACATAACGAAAATCCCATTCATTAGGAACGGTAAAACTTTACCAATATTTAAATGAAATGTAAAATCTTGTAATGCATTAGTATAAAGCCTGAGATATCATTTCCTATAAGCAGTAAACGGTAAAAAAGAGTAGTCTTATGATAACTTAATAAGTTAAATAAGAGTAATGTAAGGAGATATTCATTTAAAACATAATATGAAACAGTTGACAGCTAAATAAAGATACATTTCAATATAAATAAAACATTTTTATTAAAATACATACTTACTAAAACAATTTTTTTCTCACAAATTTTCTATTCTATCTCGTAAAGTTGACAATGAAATATTCTTTAAAACGTCATCACTGTCATAAATACAACAGCAAGTGTTTACATAAAGTTTTTTAACAAGTCTGTTAAAGTTCATTGACAATATAGCTTTGTCAGTATTATTCATAGCTTTTCCCTGAGTCGTTTCCATTATACAGGGGTGGCGACGCTGACTTGGATGATTGACTGCACATCCCTCACATATAAATAGATCTTTGAGACTGGTTAATGTAATTCCTCGTAAATAAATATTGTTAAGTTTCTGCATGCATTGGTCGTTAGTTAAATGCTCCAACTGTTTGCATTCTGATCGCCGTTTTCTTATCTCATGCGGTAACACAGTTTGAAATAGAGCAGTTTGGATAGTCTGTGTTATTTCGCTGTATAAATCTAAAAGTTTATCGGTCTGATATGACTCTAATTCAAAACAATTTGCTATGAGACGTAAACCACCGCATGAGCTTTTAAAAATTTGTTGAAG